TTCTCCCTTCTCTTCTTCGCTCTCCCTTCTCTTCTTCGTTCTCCCTTCTCTTCTTCGCTCTCCCTTCTCTTCTTCGTTCTCCCTTCTCTTCTTCGCTCTCCCTTCTCTTCTTCTTTGTTCTCACTTCCCTTCTTCGCTCTCCCTTCTCTTCTTCTTTGTTCTCACTTCCCTTCTTCGCTTTCCCTTTTCTTCTTCGTTCTCCCTTCTCTTCTTCGTTCTCCCTTAGCTTCCTTGCTCTCCCTTCTCTTCCTTGCTCTCCCTTATCTTCTTCGTTCTCCCTCATCTTCCTTGCTCTCTCTTTTCTTCCTTGTTCTCCCTTCTCTTCTTCGCGCTCCCTTCCCTTCTTCGTTCTCTCTTCTCTTCTTCGCCCTCCCTTATCTTCCTTGCTCTCCCTTATCTTCCTTGCTCTCCCTTCTCTTCTTCGCTCTCCCTTATCTTCCTTGCTCTCCCTTCTCGTCTTCGTTCTCCCTTATCTTCCTTGCTCTCCCTTCCCTTCTTTGCTCTCCCTTCTCTTCTTCGTTCTCCCTTCTCTTTTTCTTCTCCTCTTCTACCGAGCTCCTAGTGACAACCCAGAGCGTTCTATGGAATGTGCAGTAAATCTGTATTTATTTAGCATGAATAAAGTGTATGTCGAGTATGCGACGCAACTCTCTGCGTATTTTTAATTAATTCCCGTTCAATGCCTATTCAGGCCTGCTGCTTATGGATGCCCTCTACTATTGTACAACAACTATAGCGCTAACGACGTAATGCGAGATGTGCTTGGTTTTTGCGTCCTCCATCTTGGAGAATTACGTTCGTGTTTAGTAGAGTGCTATAGTTCCGGCTCTCCGAGGTTTGCATAATCGCATGCGTGCGGTGTGCAGCTGTATAGCGTCTCCGAATTTAATCATTGCCAAGGCGGGATATAATAGAGAGCCATTCAAGTAGTGAATATATAGTTTTACATCCGTCCGTTAGCGATCTGACACTAATGGTGGCCCGTAGGCGGCGGTGGCAGTGACAGCGAGTGCAGCGGTGACGGTGTATGGAAGAGAAGCAGAATCTAGAGAAGCCGAATCTAGAGAAGTCGAAGAGAGGCAGAGAGGAACAGAGAGAGGCTGAGAGAGAGAGAGAGAGAGAGGCTGAGAGGCTGAGAGAAGAGAGAAGAGAGAAGAGAGAGAGAGAGAGAGAGAGAAGCGAGGGACAGAGAGGGACAGAGAGAGGCTGAGAAAGAGAG